TAGTAGTGGCTAATTTATTCAATGTGAATGTTTCTAAGAAGGCGGAAATTAAACAATGTTTGATAGAGAAAGTGGTGGACAGGGGAGTGTTTGGGAGGCAGAAAACTTCGCCGAGTGGGTCTGGGAGTTTGGAGACGGCAGTGGCGGCGGAAGCTGCTGGGGCCGTCCCGAAACCTACCAAGGGGCGGATGACGTCGGGGGTGGAAGCTCCTGTCGCTGTTCAATCTCCTAAATTTGACCCGACTGGCCAGGTTGCGGCGGGTTTGGTGACGGATGATCTCAAGCTTGCCCTTCGCTTGAAGGAGGTGGAGCTGGAGGCTAAGGCTAAGGAAGTCGAACTCATGCATCTCCGCATAGGAGCTATGGAGCTGGATCCTTCTCAAGCGAAAGACGCTGTTCCCGTCCGTGTAAGTACACTCCCCGACACTTCCATCGTAGACCAGTTTAATGCTAGCAAGCAGGTTGTTTTGGTGCCTCCTTTTAGGGAGGGAGAGGTTGATTCCTATTTGTTGATGAGTTGATTCCACTGCTTTTGAGCGCATCGCAACCACTTTAAAATGGCCAAAGGATGTCTGGAGTCTGTTGTTGCAATGCAAATTAGTACCACTACACAATGTGTTTCTTCAATCGACGCTCGTTTCGCGATCAGTTGCCAGTGCCCGGAGTTGCAATGATTCTGGGGAATGACTTAGCGAACGGGAAAGTGTTTTCTATCCCGAGAGTGGTTGAGAATCCTGTGCCTGATACTTTGTTATCTGACCCTGCCGCTGAGCGCTCCCCCTCTGTTTTTCCTGCCTGCGCTGTAACTCCCGCGCACAAGTGCAAGTATGGTGATGTTGATTTGTCTGATTCTTTTCTCTGCGCTGGTGGTGAGCCGGAGTCTGGATCTAAAACCTGTGACCCGCTGACGGGCGACTCTGAGGCGATGCTGTCTATTAGCCCATCAGTGACATCTCAACTGCCTTTGGGAGTTAACAAAAAGGATTTTGTTTTGGCACAACACAGTGACCCGACTCTTGTGGGTTGTTTTTCAGCTGCCAACTCTAGTGACCAGTATCCTCGTGTTTATAGTGTTGAGGATGATGTGTTGATGCGTACCTGGTATCCGCCTACAGCTGGTGATCTGGGCTGGAATGTGTTTCAGCAGGTTCTGGTGCCTCAACAGTACCGACACAAAGTTCTTAGTCTTGCCCATGACAGCTTTTCTGGACATTTAGGTATTAGAAAAACCTACCACCGCATTCTGCGTCATTTCTTTTGGCCAGGATTGAAGAATGACGTTGCTCAGTATTGTCGTTCTCGTCACACCTGTCAGATTAGTGGTAAGCCTAACCAAGTCATTCCACCCGCTCCATTACACCCTATTCCAGTTTTAGGGGAACCTTTTGAACACATACTCATCGACTGCGTTGGTCCACTTCTTAAAACAAAATCGGGCCACCAGTACCTCTTGACTTTGATGTGTGTTGCTACCCGTTTTCCCGAGGCAATTCCATTGCGCACCCTTAAGGTTAAACCAGTTGTTAAGGCGTTGGCGAACTTCTTTTCTACTTTCGGGTTACCAAAAGCGGTCCAAACCAACCAAGGCTCTAATGTCATGTTTAAGATTTTTGCTCAAGTTTTGCAATCACTTGGCATTAAACATCAGAAATCTAGTGCCTATCATCCGGAGTCGCAAGGTGCGCTCGAGCGGTTTCATCAGACATTGAAATCTATGATGCGGAAATTTTGCCTTGAGTCTGGAAAGGAGTGGGATGAGGGGTTATTTCAAAAATTCTTGAAAAAGTAACCATAATAGAATAGGATTAGAATAGAATTCAACTTTATTGTCATTGCACATGCACAGGTACAGGGCAACGAAATGCAGTAGCAATGCAATAACCTCTATGAACAATTTCAATCTGGTTTCCGCCCCAATCATAGCATAGAAACTGTTTTGTTAAGGATTACCAATGACCTTCTGATGGCAGCTGATTCTGGTCTCCTATCCATCTTCATCCTTCTTGATCTTAGTGCGGCGTTTGATACCATTTCTCACAATATTCTCCTGAACCGGTTAGCATCCATTGGCATTAGTCACACCCCCGTTGCCTGGTTCACCTCATATCTCTCAGACGGCACTCAGTTTATCCAATTTAAATCACACTCTTCAAGTCTCTATCCTGTTTTCCCCTCCACTCAGGTTAAAAGTTTGGGTGTCTTACTTGACAGTACTCTTTCATTCCAGTCTCACATTAATTACATAACACGGTCTGCATACTTCCACTTACGTAATATTAACCGACTCCATCACTTCCTTCCTCCCCATGCTGCTGCCATCCTTGTCCATAGTCTTATTACGTCCCGTATTGATTACTACAGTTCCCTCCTATTTGGTCTGCCTAAAAGGTTCCTTCATAAACTCCAACTTCTTCAAAACTCTGCAGCTCGGGTCATAACTTGCACTCCGTCATATTACAACAGTTCTTCAGCAGCTTCGCTGGTTGCCTATAAAAGCCAGGATAAACTTTAAAATCTTACTTCTCACGTATAAGTGTATCCATAAATCTGCTCCTTCCTATTTGTGTGACCTGCTCCATATCACCACTGTCTCCCGCCCTCTCAGATCCTCATCTGCTGTTCATCTTACTGTTCCTTCCGCTCATCTCATCACTATGGGACACAGAGCCTTCAGTCGCTCTGCACCTCGGCTCTGGAACTCTCTATAAGAAATATAGACTCTCTTCCCGCATTTAAGTCACAGCTCAAAACACATCTGTTCAAACTGGCTTATTCGCTTTAGTGCTGATTTTAATCTGTTGTCAAGTTCTGTTTTGCAATTTTAACTTATTTTATGCATTATGCTCCTTTTATTAATTTTGTTCTTTGTAAAATGGTAAACGGCCTATATTTGTAAGGTGACCATGGGTTTCTGAAAGGTATCCTCAAATAAAACATGTTATTATTATCATCACACATGAAAGCCTTGGAGAGGAGGATGGCGCGGTTTCTGTTCTGAAACTTAAAAGTTATGATGCTCATATTTTTTTGTAAACCCCACCTTTGGATGTTTTCCTGCGAGCTGCTCGGATTCAAACGACGCCTGTAACATTTCACAGCGGCGGTCCCCTCGCCGTGTATCACTGTGGGGGACGAGGACCCTACAATCCTCCAGCTAAGTTTGACTTCTCCGTGAGTTTCCCTTTGATGACTCGCACTGTTAGAGCTGCACGACGGTTATTTTGGGCACAGACGCACAGAGGTTAGCCTTCATAGACTATGGGCACATTTACTGTAAACCGACACACGGGCCAGTGTTTAAGGTTAAAGGTCGGAGAGCTGCAGTCAGCTGAGACTGACGGAGTCAGCTGATGACGACACGCGTCCCACTGAAGACGTCCAGATGAGCACAAGACTTTTTCAGGATCATTTACAGTCATTTAAGATACCTTTATTAGTCCCACACATGGGAAATTTGTTGTTAAGGCTGCCGACCATTGCCAGCGCCATCTTACCCTTCTGACCTTACATACATTACACAAACATCACATGGGGAAGACAGGTCAGAGAGGTATAACAATGGAAAATGCACAACATGAGGAAAGACAAGGAGACAAAAATAACTCCCCTAGACTGACCTCCAACAGGGAGATCAGTTTGAGAACAGAAAAAAAAAAACAAAAAAAAACACCTCAGCACATGAATCATCACATCTCACAACATAGAAGACATGAGCTTCGAAGGCGTTTGGAGGGGGTGAGTGTAGGTCTGTGTCAGTGTACATGCGTATGTGTGTGTGTTCAACCAAGAGAAAGTGTCCCTTCACCCGATTAGGCAAAAGTCAGTCTTCGGTCGATGCGGGTGGCCTTAAATGAGGAGGGAGAAAGTCATAACACAGTCTTGTTATCTAAGGGAGAATTGTTATTCCCGTCAGCTTTTGCCTTGAGCATCCAACTGGCGCCACATGAAATGAAGATGGTAGCTGTTTTGGTTAGTGCGAACAAACTGCTTCAAATTTTACAGTTGTCTAATGTCCGTCACTGGTCACAAGTCTGGAGCCGTGAGCCTCTCCACGCTGTTATCCATCCATGCCAAGATGTTATCCATTTTGCTCATAGGGCATGAGTGTTCACGACAGCCGTGAGCCTCTCCGAGATGTTGTCAGATGTTGTCAGTCGGTCTCAGTACTCACAGCAGCCCAAACTTCTCCAAGATGTCATTCGTGCTGCACCTGATGAGCCCATTCTGAGAAGCCACAGCTCGCTCCATCTTTCCAATCAACAAAGCAGGCAGCCTTGTGGGGATTTGAACAGCCGTTTCCGCTTTCTTTATCCTTCAATAAGCCGGGGCCAATCAGCAAGAACCCTGTTATCATGGTTCCAAAAAGGTGTCTTCAATGTCTTGTCACGGGCTCTCCCGAACCCAGGCTTCTCGTCGAGGGTGTCAATTGCATTCAGGGACCAGTTGATCAAATCCATAATTCTTTAGGTTTTTAGAGAACAAGTCTGGGAGACTCTCTTAGGGTTAGAGAATAAGCGAGACTATACAAAAGACATGAGAAGCCAAGCAGGAAAGATAAGTGAGAGGGAGAGGGAGAAGGAGAAAGTGCGACCGCCTCCGTCAAGAGCCAAAAGCAGTTTGGTTGTCAATGGTGACCTCGCAGCCCGAGCTCACCATTGACAACACTGCAGCTGCTACGATGGGTGTTTACGCCATCGGCCATGTTATGTGCATGCCTCCTCCCAGCTACTGCAGAACGAGCTGAGCCAGCGGGCCGTCTTCACTGAACTGTGTTTACATCATTCACACTAACCAATCACACCCTGCTGCTGTCTCACGTTTGGCCACTAGATGTCACTGAAACGCAGCTCTCAGCGTGTGACTCTAGAGGGCGCAGTTGAGCAGTGGCAGGTTTAATCAAACAAACAGTAACATTTCAGTAAATTTGTATAAATATTAATCTGCACATTCACGGATATTTCTCCTGTAGCTGTAGATTTCAAATAGTCAAAATTTAAAAATAAAGGTTCACATCCTCACTTTTTATTCTACAAACTCACATTTACAACATTCTGACCTTCACGGTTAACGAAGGATAACGAGCGAGGCGCCTCTGTGACAGCATAGCGGCACTTCGTGTTCTGGGGGAACAACCGGCTCGAGGAAATTGGCTGCGACGCCCACTGTGGATTACCCTGACGGTAAGTAAGCTCCGCCTTCCTTCCTATCATCGGTGGCATCAGAACTGATCTCACGTGCATGCTCGCACCAACTTCATTGAGGAAGCTCCTCATTAGAAATAACTGCAGATATGGTTCTGGTGCATGAGCAGCGGGTCAGCATCATCAGGGTTCCACGGGGAGACACGAGAGCAGTGGCGACGCTCCGAGTCCTTCAGTGAGTGAGTGTTCGGTTTTATTCCAGCTCTCTGCAGCTAACGGCCCTCTGAAGCAAAACTTTTGGACTTACAGCAACCTTTGACCTGAGGAGGACGGGAAGTGCTGTCGCTGCTTTAGAAGCACTTCCTGTGTGAACACGATAAAAACCCTACAGAAAAGCCTGCAGTGCTTCTCTGAGGACGGAGATGCCTCAGAGGTCACATGATGAAGCCAGACCAAGTAAACATCAGATCACTGATCAGATTATATCAGTCGCCAGACTCCAGGACTTTCCAGGTCCTTAAAAGGACCTTGAAGAAGTTCCAGGCGTGCCTGGGCATGGCGAAGTTCTTCTGCGACTGAAACATCAAACTTAAAATGAAAAACACGAAACATTAAATGAGCAGGTGAGAATCGGAGATCATTCCATCCACGGCACCGCGGCGTCCTCCTCAGGCCTCCAGCTGCCACTGCTGTGTCTGCGAGCCATCGCATATCGCCATGGAGACGTAACCTTTCTGTCCTATTGGCTGGGAGACAGCTGCAAGACACTGACCGACAGAGACCTGGTAGATCCGGTTGGACTTCTACAGGAAACACAGAAGGACACGTGACACTGACTCCTCCTCCTGATGACAGTAAACCCCACCCACACTGTGAGGACTGTGTGTCTCACCCCCAGGCTCCACTGCTGCGACCCCCCCGAGCCGTGACACTTCATCAGCCTCGGGGGGTCAAAGGTCCTGACCTCTGACACGTCCAGACACAGCAGACCTGCCAGGATCAGCTGACCCTCCTCGTCGTACGCCCAGTCCTGCACACGTAAAGGGTTAAAGGTTAAAGGTCACGGTGAAGACAGACGCTTTTATTGTGATAAACAATTGTGTTTATTAAAAACGTGCGGTCAGCGAAGTCGCTGACTCGTTTATGAAGCCGTGACGTGCAGGTCGGGACAGTCCGCATCTTCAGGGGCGGAGCCCAGCAAAGACTCGAAGCCTGATTGGATAGAGGTGTGTGAGAAACAACCTTCAGCTGACCTCTGGGCTTTGAAACATCATTGGAGTCAGAGGCTTTTCATTGGCTAATGACTCGTCAATCATAGGTCGTTAGCCAATGACTGCGAGCCTTTACTGTCACGTCTGCTGTGAAGATGTTACCATGGTTACATCTATATTTTACGTTTGTGTAAACGTGTACTTTAGCTCCGCCCGTGCCGCCACCAGGAATCACAAATCTCTGCGGTGATTCGGTAAACCGATGTTGCGTGTGGTCATGTGATCGGCTCACCTGCTCGGGGTCTTGGGGGTCACACGGTCGCAGAACGATGGCGCCGCCCTTCTGACTGACCCGGCCCTGGGCTACCAGACAGCGTCCGATGGCGAGGTTCCGTAGCTGGAAGATGGCGGACACAGAGGACGGAAACATGAAGGTAGTTCATGTGACAGGGGGCAGACACGAACGTGTGGTGAGTTAAGGTACCCGTCCTCGCTGCAGGACTTTGGGCCGCTTCAGGCCCTTGTTGATGAACAGCGGCTGCTGCTTGTTGCCGTTGGCGGCGGTCTGCATCTCAGGGTAGACTGTGTCCAGGTACCAGCTGAATGAGTGGCACTGCAGCCGCTTCCTCAACGCCACGCGCTCGCCGATGTCGCCGTAACTCCGGTTGCGCAGCTCTGGACGCAAAGAGAGATACTGCTCCTGATTGGATGAGAGAGGCACAGGAAATGAGGCCACCGTGCCGGCATCCAGAGAGTGTGCACGTGTTTGTGTGTGTGTTTACCTTGTACCCGTCCATCCACACGTGTGCCAGCCGCAGGGAATTATGGGCCATGGTGTCATGGCCGCCCGGCGAGCCATAGGGCCGCCGTTTCCTGAAGATATGGCCAACCCTGGAGCACGGGATGATGAAGAGCTGACCACCGCACATCCAGATCTGAGCGAGACAGCGAGAAGGTGTAGCAGCAGCTGCTCTCCCCTCTTCCCACCACTTCCTCTCTATGCGCTAAGCTAACTGCTAACTGAAAGAAATGTGCGACTGCTCCTTTAATGACCCCTTCACTGACCGTCAGTAAAACAGAGTCTCACCCTGAAGGAGATTTCCAGGTTCTCTCCCCCCCAGATGTCCATGCCGGCGTCGTATTGGCCGAGCTCGTTAAAGTACTTCCTGTTCATAGCGAACAGCCCGCCTGCCATGGTGGGGGACCTGAGGGGGAGCAGAGCAAGGGGGGAGGAGTTAGAGGTCAGACCAAAACTGTACCTCGAGGCTGTTAAGACATCACCTGATGGGTCCGGAAGCTCCCTCAGGCCCGCGGAGCTCGGAGGGGGGCACGGGGTCCCACTTGAAGTGCAGCCCCCAGTTGAAGCCGCCCCTGACGATGGGGGAGGGCGAGTAGGCGAGCGTGTCGGCGGAGATGATGTCGATGACGGGGCAGACGACAGTGCGGCGGTCCTTCTGGATGGCGCCAGCAGCGGCTGCAGCCATGCCTGGTTCACCTCGCAGTGGCTGTCCAGGAACACGAGCACCTCACCTGGACGCGCACACAGGTGAATCAGACTGCGATCTGACCTAACCTGATCAGAAGGCCCCGCCCCCTCAGAGGCTTGTGAAGGCTCCTAAAAACACTGAACACTGAATTCAAAGCTTAACAGGTGAGACCAAATACTTCTGTCCACATGGTTACAGAGCTGTGCAAAAGTCTTGAGCCGCCTGTCATTTCCTTATAGTTTTCCTGTATTTTTGAAGTGCTCTTGAGCAACAGATCTCTGGCTTTCTGGAGCTCTTTCTCATCTTTGGCTGCTTTTCCTTGTTCCGGAGCATCCTTCAGGAAGCTCGGCGAACTATTCCTGAGGGTCCAGAGATGACACAGAGCTGCTCAGAAGGATGACGCTCCGTCCCCAAACACTGGTTTTACACGTGTATGTGCAGACGTTGATTCTGACTGATTTACACGCACGTTTACACGTTTCAATAAATCGCTGCACATTTTTCTCATTTAAAAATATGAGGGGAGGCTCGAGACTTGTGCACAGACCTGTGCGCATACAACACCAGACTCTGGCTTTCATACGGTTATTGGAGGAAGAGAGAGAGTAGGGCTGAACGATTATGGAAAATAATCTAATTGCGATTTTTTGCCCCAATATTGCGATTGCGATGCGATATGCGATTATTTTTTAAGGTCTTTGTCTTCTGTATTATTAAACAAAGACAAGCAATACATCATATAGTATGGCCAATACTATATTACATTAATTTTAAACTGTTCTTTCCTGGAAGACAGACCTCTGTTATGATGACATGAGGTGATGCATGAATTGATGACTGACATTTTTATTTAACTTCTTCAATCACAACAGTATATTTGAACATACACAATAGTTTATTTTTAGCTTACAAACATCTGAGCATAAAGTGCTGACAAGGAACCCTGGTGTAAACATTAAAATGAAAGTCAGTGCAATGTGCAGATTGCAGAAATATACATAAAAAAAATCAGTGGCTTTACCACACTCAGTTTTTCAACATCTGTGAACTACTAGACAGTCATTCAATTAAAAAATAATATTAAATAAATAAAACTAATAAATAAAAAATACACACATCTTACTGATCTCTGCAGTCAGTAACATTACACATAAAGTGCAAACATAATAGCAATTGTATAAACACACACACAAACACGCCTTTAAAGTTTAAAGGCGTGAAATTGGACGGTCTAGTTCTGATTAGCGTCACCGCTGTCTCGGTGGAGTTTAATAAACTCGGCCGTCTGCTTCTTGCTATCTAAAATATAACCAGACACTGGCGTAAATTCTCGACTGTCTCATACTTCTGTTTAATAAGTTTTCTGTTTGACGTTTAGTCAGCTGTGTGAAAACCAAGGAGGAACCCACCCGGGGGATTAATAAAGTTTTATTTTATCTAATCTAATAACTTTAATCTCAGCCAAACCGATTTACTCACGAACAAACAAAACACTGAAAAAAGCCCAACAATAACATTTTTAGGTTGTCTAAGTGACTTATATATTACGTTTAACCCGAGCAGCGAAACTCCGCGGTGATCTGAAAATGATGTGCCGGGAGTTGTGCCGTTCTCGGCCGCATCAGTAACCCTCGAGCTCCCGGCGAGCTGTCGAGCTGGTGGGTAGCAGACGCCTCTGAAAACGTCGAAGCACTTTTGCAAATATGGGATATCTTGATAAACCGAGCAGATATTTGATGTTTACACAACTACTTTCTCGCCTGAAAATATGTTAAAAGTTTATTTTGTGACCCAGAAAGATTAGTATGAGTAATTTTAAAACTTAGTAGCGGCCGCCATTGCTGGAAACTGGAGTTTGGCTGGGCCGCGCTATGAATTCTGGGATATGGTAGTAATTTGGACAGCCTTCGGCGCGTCGCTGTGACGTAATCGGTCTACAAATGCGGCCTCAGGAGGATGCAGCCCATGAATTTGGACATGTCCAGAGTATAATCGCAGCCTTTGCGGTTAGAAAATTGCACTTGATCATGTCGCGATATTATCGCAAATGCGATATATCGTTCAGCCCTAAGAGAGAGGCCTAAAGAGGTAAAGGAGGGTTCTTCGTCCTCCAGGAAACAAGAACAGAGCAAGGAAAGCAGGTGACGAGGAGGCACCTGTAGCGTGTGAGGCTCCAATCATGCGTCCTCTGATGAGTCCTTCCCTCCTCTGGTTCCTCACTAGATGGACTTTTCCCTGAAACTCCGCCCTGACGTAGCGGTCCAGCTCGTCCTTCAGCTCCTCTGCACACAAACAAAAATCCGCCATGAGCCACGGGCCAAGCCCCGCACCAATCGAATTGCAGCAACTGGTTCGCGATTACCCAGCTCGCTGTGGTCGTCCACCAGGATGATCTCGTGCAGCAGGTAGGGCGGCGTGCGGTCCAGCACGCTGTGCACGGTCCTGAGCAGGGCGGAGAGCGCCTCGTTGAAGAAACAGATTATGACGCTGGCAGAAGGTAGAGCCACAGGATAGGACTTCTCCCGACACCTGAGAGAGAGGCATCATGGGTAAACAACAGGGCTCGCCTACACATCGCACGACGCCACAGTGAGTTGCAGGTACACGTGACTACAGTCGGCTTCAGGTGATCCGGACAGTGACCTCAGAACAACCGCCGGGTCACCGCCGACACCTGCACGCTGCTACGGGGCGCTTCACGTTTTTATGGTCGTTACACCTGAACGAGCTCACTCTACAGAAAACACAAAGTTAACTCAGATTTACTGGAAGACAGAGACACAAAGGCCCCAGTGTGCCCGGTATCAGCTTCTTACTGGGTGTCTCTGGTGTCGGGCAACTGGCGGTGGAAGCCCAGCCTGTTGGAGATGAGGACGTTGAAGGCGTGACGGTGGTAGCCGCTGTCCCGAACCTCTTGATCCGCCTCGTTGAAGATCATCCCTGCAGACGGACACAGAGGCTGACACATCACATCATCTCTCTCTCACACACACACACACACACACACACACACACACACACACACACACACACACACACACACACCTTTAATTTAATCCCTTTAATTTTAAATATGTTTATATTGTCTATTCTGTAAAATAGTCAGATCGTCTATTCTCATTTAACTCACTTAATGTACAGAATTCACCTGCTTGCTGCTACTGCTGCACATTCACCTAATGTATGTGTGTAATATATATATATATATATAATGTTCTTCCTCTACCCCCCATTTTTGCACAAGTTGAGGAGCGTGTCAGGTTACATTTCGCTGTGTGTTACACTTGTATAACTATGCATGTGACAAGTAAAGAACCTTGAACACACTGAGGTGTTAATCGTGACATCATCAGAGACTTGGCCCTGCCCCCATTTGCCAGTTATCATTCATTTAGTCTGACAGACCTCTGGTTTACAAAGACTCTGAAAACAGGTCATCACTGACACGCTCTCAGGCCCCACCCCTTACTCCACCCATCACTGCCGCTCTCCCAGCAGTACCTGAACGCACCACGGGCACTCACCCATCTCTGGTGAAAGCTCCACTCCATTACTTGGCAGCAGAGGCCGACGCCCCCCTCTACGATCGGCCACACCTCCAGTGATTGGCTGCCCGAGGTGCCTCATGGGAGTCCTGCCACGGTCAGGCTCCGCCCCCATGGAAAAATACAGGAAGAGCAGGAAGGACCAGGTGGCCGAGGTGACGAGGCAGCCATAACAGAAGTACCGCAGCGTGACAGTGGTCATGGCGGGCGAGCAAGCATGGCCTTACATTACACTGTAGTGAGACAAAGAGAGAGTTCATCAGTCACAGACTGTGTCCCAATCCAGCGACCGCACGCTTTGTAGTGTGCATGTGGAGAACGATTACGTCACAGCGATGCGACGAAGAGTGTCCCAATACAAAGTGTACTCCAAATGCGCTCAACAAATGTGCCCTTTATTTCCCCAAATTAGAAGTGTGGCCCGGTGTAGACTTCGGGGTACCATATATCCCACAATTCATAGCGCGGCGGTGGGTGTGGACATTTTGTTCGGAAAAAAACGGCGGATGGCTGAAGCAGAGCGGCCGAAGAGCAAACTTTTAAAAATAAGTACTGAATATTATGTCACTTATTTATGCGCAAATGTTTAATAATGAAGATCATTAAAACATGACTGTTGGCCACATGCCGGCAAAGTTATGTGACATTAGTGACGTTTGTACTAACTTGGTTTTAAAGCCTTTAAAATATACGCCGTTCAATAGCCGAAGTTAATCTGACAGAGAATGTGATGATTTTGTGGATAATTAAAGTCAGTCATATATCCACAAACACAACAAGCTGAAAGTCAGTGATGCTGCTCGGTTTGCAGTCCTGAACATCACGGCACAAGCAGGATCCACTGCACTGTTAATGTGAGCTGTGTTATATTGCTGCCTCTGTTCGGTGGTGTCGAGCCAAACGGACTTTAACGTGTGTTTGAACGAGCTGACGGTTCACTCGTTAAGCTGAAAGAAAGATGCTGTAATCACAGCAGTCACATTGTAATGTAAGTCACATAATTTGTGTGGCATCTTATTGAATGCAGAACAACTGATTGTTCTGTAAAAAGTTTGAAATGGTTATTAAAAAAAAGGTAAATGGCTGCAAATAACTTGTGCGTATGATTTTAAAATTGACAATTTATATTTGCATTTAAAGTTATGAAATATGATTCATTAAACATGTTTGTGGTTGTCACATATACACATATGACTGTGTGGCCACTACCAGCTCCACCACCATCATCAAGTTTGCTGACGACACCGTCGTGGTGGGCCTGATCTCTGATAACAACGAGACGGCCTACCTGAAGGAGATTAGGAATCTGGAGAACTGGTGCCAGAGGAACAACCTCCTTCTAAACGTCAGTAAGACAAAGGAGCTGATAGTGGACTTCAGCACTAAGCAGGAGAGGAACTACCAGACCCCCGTCATCAACGAGTGCCCAGTGGAGAGAGTGGACAGCTTCAAATACCTCGGAGTTCACATCACGCAGGACCTGTCATGGTCCTGTCACATCAACACCGTGGTGAAAAAGGCCCGTCAGCGTCTCTACCACCTCAGACGCTTGAGAGACTTCCAACTGCCCTCCAAGGTGCTCAGGAACTTTTACTCCTGCACCATAGAGAGCATCCTGACGGGAAACATCTTAACCTGGTTCGGGAACAGCACCATGCAGGACAGACGAGCTCTACAGAGGGTTGTGCGGTCAGCTGAGCGCACCATCCGCTCCGAGCTCCCTGACCTGCACTCAATCTACAGCAGGCGGTGCTGGACCAAGGCCAGGAAGATGGTGAAGGACCTCAGCCATCCCAACAACAGACTGTTCTCTCTGTTGAGGTCAGGAAAGCGATTCCGCTCCCTGAAGACCAACACAGAGAGACTGAGGAGGAGCTTCTTCCCGCAGGCGATACGGTCTCTCAATCACACCACCACACAGTACTGACCCACACATATGGTTCTTACACACACACTGGACTTTCTGGACTTTGGTTTTGCACAACACTTGTCACTATATTCTTCATTTCCAGTTAATACTTGTACAGCTGCTGTTATTGTGTATATATTTATTTATATTTCTTCATACATTCTTATATAGTTCTATATTGTGTATTTTGTTGTACAGTTATTTTATTTTCAACTTTAATTTATATATTTATCTTATTCTTCCCAGTTAAATTTACCCTTCATTCTAATTTGTGTTGTACAGTTATTTCATTTTTAACCTTAATTTATATTTTATTCCTTCCTAGTTAAATTTACCCTTTTTAATTTTTCATATTTATTTCCTATCTTATTCATAGCCTTTTCCTTTTTTGTTTTCTTTAGGTCACGAGCAGTTGTCCAAGCATTTCACTACATATCATACTGTGTATGACTGTGTACGTGACAAATAAAATTTGAATTTGAATTTGTTACAGAAAAAATATCACTTTTTCTACTCTGATTTTATGTTTTCTGTCTGATTTTAGATCAATTGTGTTAATACAGTATGTCAGAATGAAAACATGACTGTAAATTCAGACACGTGAGGCAGTGCTGAAAAGGATGATACCAAACGAGGCAAAGTAAATCGTTTTTAAAGGTGAAATGTAGAGGAAACATCAAAAGTAGTTAAAATGTCCAATTATACCCTGGATCCCAGAGGTTACAAAAAATAATAAAATAAAAATTTAAGTAACGCAATAGTTACTTTTCAAGTAATTAATTACTTTTAGAATCTTGTAACTCAGTTACTACCTCAGTTACCTTTTTGAAGTAGTAACTAGTAACTATAATTAATTACTTTTTCAAAGTAACTTGGACAACACTGGGGGTCAGAGGTCACAGCCTGAACCTCCAATCAGCTCTCAGGTCGACTGATCACAAGGTTAATCAATTTTCAATGAGTAACCTGGAACTGCTGCTGGCGTCAGCACACCTGAGGACAGGTGTCCTGTGTCGGCAGCTCAATCATTCACCTGAACTCGTGACTGACACAGACAGAAGAGCAGCTCCGACCAGAGTACATTCAGAAATCCTCTGATTTAAGGGGCTCAAACACACACTCCTCCACACTGAAAGTTCGGCTTCAGCTCACCTGTTAGAGACTATGCGCACACACGCGCGCACAGTGAGAAGCAACTGACCCGAGCTCACCTTTAGTCATCCTACTGCTTCACAGAGGCTCCATCTGTCCGTGCGGCTCTCTGGGCTTCAGCAGCAGGAGGTGCAGCGGCTCCCAACGCGAGCCACAGCAGCACAGTGTCCGATAATGGAAGCCGCTCTCTTGGCCCCGCTAGCCGAGCACGGAGGCTGAGAGTAGCGTTAGCAGCTCGCTGTGACCCTGAAGTTCTCTCCGTGGATTTTACACGGCGTCCCACGCGGTATACTCGGCGGCACTCTGGCCGACGGTCAGCCTGCTGGTCAGTTAGCCGCTGAGGCTAAAGTGAGCCGCAGAGAAAACAGAGACACGTGACTTCCGCTCTGCTCCTTCACCATAAGACACACCGCTGCCAAAGAAAAGGCTGTGAACGCTTTCAAAGTAAAACAGGCTGTATCCCAATTCAGGGTCTGCAGCCTTAACGGTCCACAAGGGCCGCGTACTCAAAGCCCGCTAAGGCATGCGAAATGGGATGGTCTAGCCTCCATCGCGTTCACAATCTTTTGTCCATTTGTTTGTTTTTATATGAGCTTTGTGTGATTTGATAAGCTTCTGAGGCTGAGACCACAGGACTGTAAAAACATGATTGTTGGGCTTCATTTCTGTACTGAACAGTGTTGGTCAAGTTACTTGAAAAAAGTAATCAGTAACTAATTACTGATTACTTCCCCCCAAAAGTAATCCCATTACTTTACTGATTACTTATTTTCAAAAGTAATTAATTACTTAGTTACTTTTTAAAAACACGATTTACAACCTGAATAGGTGATAAAGCGATAGATCTCTCAGCCTGGGCTGGGATGGTCAATTTGGTAAAGTAAATCCGTTGGGCATCTTTGTTTGCCTTTAGACAACAATTCTGATGGCAAAAGAGCCAAACGGGACAGGCAAAAAAGCCCAATTCTACTTTTTCTGCATAATCCATCATACAAAATGTAATCAAATGGAAAAGTCTCTTTTTAAAACTTGTTTTATTAGTTTTAATCTTTAAACTTTATGCATCAAGCAAAAATGTAATTATATGCAACATTCACTGACTGGAAGAAATTTGTTTAACATTTAAACCTATTTTCTGCACATTCCAGCACATAATTATTTTTTTTTTGTGTTTACACTCACTCTTTCAAATAGATGCAAGTAAAACACAGAAAATAAATAAAATCAAAGACTCAGCGGTCCTGTTGCTCTGTTTTCACCTGTAAAGTAGGAGTAGGGTAGGCGGAGGTTTACCCTGGTGCAGGTGTGCTGCAGCGGTCAGTGGAAGGATACGGCAGTTTCTCTGTGAATTTCCCATTACGTGGTAGCACACAGAGCTTGCTTGGAAGGTTAGGGGGGTTTTTTCCGCTGTAAAAAGAAGTTTTCTTCCCACGCACAACGCTAATGGACGCTAATGTTTTTGTCACTTTTTATGGAATCAAACGTAAAGTAAGGTCAGTACTTCCACGCTTTAAACGCTGCACGCTCATACTCTCTCCGTACTGGATATATGATCCACTGTTGAGCTGCACACAGCTGTTATCACGAACGTAGCACTTGCTTACATGAGACATTCTCGCAAAAAAATCACGGTTTTAGTAACGCAGTAACGCAGCGTTCCTACGGGAAAGTAAAGGTAATCTAATTACCGTTTTTGCAATAGTAATCCCTTACTTTACTCGTTACTTGAAAAAAGTAATCGGATTACAGTAACGCGTTACAAGTAACGCGTTACTGCCCATCTCTGGTACTGAACAGTCATTTTAGGATTAGCTAGTAAATAACAATTAGCTAATGTTGTTCATGAGACTAAAGTCATCTCACTTTGGTAATGTAAATATAATATGGCCAATATTATAGTTAGTATTTATCATTATTAGTTATTACAGCAGTGAACATGAATCTCTGTCAAATACTGAGCTTCAGTAAAGATTCAAGTTGCAGTTATTTATGTTTCCTATCACCTTAAATCTTCACTCAAAGACAAGTATCTTTGACAGTGTATATACAGATGTGTTATATATAAGAGACAAATATGGTTCGTTTAACTCATTCACTGCCAGCCATTGGCAGTGAATGAGTTAAACCCATTGACTCATTCACTGCCATTGACGGCTATAGACGTCAATGGCAGTGAATGAGTTAATATGTTGGCATTACTAAAATTGGCTCAATGCTTACAAATATGTGTAAAAAGAAAACTTATGAGCTGTGATAACTGTGTCTGATAGAATGAAGAGTAGACTGATATATGAAATATTCCTTTATTGGGTGAGAAAATCAGACCATGTCATAACTGCTGTAAGTCATACAGAATAGATATCAGAGCCTTAAACAGGCTGACGTCTGCTAAATGGGTCAAACTGGGCAGAAAGTCTACAAACACATAACATCCTTATAGAATATGATGTAACACTATAGATCAACTTAGCTCAGAATATATAAAGCATATAAACAGTTACAGCAATATGATGCAACAAACACAGCAGCTACTGATCCAAAATACTCAAAGCTTCATAGAACTGAAACCAACATTTATTTTAGCTCCATCCTGCTGCTGATACAGACTTTAGGCTTCTGAACATTAAACTTGTTGCTGCCTTTCATAGTGTGTAACTTGAAGGCCCTGAGTACTCTGAGTACTTTCTCCCACACTGAAAACACTGGGATGATCACATTATTTGAACATTACCTAATAAGACTGATTCAGGACTGATTTAAACTTTCCTAGCAGTCCTTCACAAACAGGGAACAGTCTGTCTATTCTCTCCATCTGTCAGCTGCTGCTGGATCTTCCTCCTCCTCTTCCTCACACACTGCTGAGTTTGTCCTGGTGGATCATCAGGACATCAAGACTGGCCCCGTAGCCAGTCTTGTTAATGATCTCACTGAGGGGGTTCAGGCCTATGCAGAACAGCAGTGGGGACAGAGCATCTCCTTGGTAGATCCCGCACTTGATGGTGACTTGTGCTATGGGCTTGGAGTTGGCCTCTAGTGTTGTACGCCACATCCCCATTGAGTTCCTGATGAAATGTCTGTGAAGGTTCTCAGTCATCCAGTTCTGCGGCTGCGAGGTGGTTGGTGCCTGTCGTGGTGGTAATCCCCGAACCAAATGGTGGACACCAGAGGTGAAGGGAGCCACCAGGCTGAAGAAGGAGTCTTATCGGGCTTGGTTAGCCTGTGGGACTTCGGAGGCAGCTGACAGGTACCGACAGGTCAAGCGGAATGCGCCTCGGGCAGTGGCTGAAGCAAAAACTCGGGTGTTGGAGGAGTTTGGAGAGGCCATGGAAAAAGACTTTTGGACTGCCTCGAAGAGATTCTGGCAAAGCAGCCAAAAACTGTTGGACCTCCGACTAGTTGCCAGTGATCTTACCAATGCAACTTATAATGGACATAAGGCGTTACCTCCATTCCTGTCTGGGATACCAGCTAACCTTTGTCGGACCCGGGCCCCAGCCTCACGGCGAAAGCGTTTCAGATGCCGGGGCAAACATAGCGGTCTACTCGTGAAACTTAAGGCATACGTGGTGCGCTCTTCCCCGGCTCCTTGGAACGAACGTGGATCTGTACCTTGTCATGCCTTTTATCCGTGCTCTCCGGAGCCCAGCTGTGAAAGATTTTCCCTCATCTTCGTCGGCGCGGTGCGAACCTACAGAACTTGTGGCCGCTGCGTCGGGTCTCGCTGTCAGCCACGAACACGCTGACCTCCACCAGGTTTGGATTGGTGAACACTAGATCGCTGAGTAATAAAACTTTTATTTTAAGGGATTTATTTATAACCTAAGGACTGGATTTCCTCTGTATAACTGAGACATGGTTGAGGGCCGGTGAGTCCAGCGTTTTCACAGATCTCTTACCTGATGGCTGCTGCTTTTTAAACTCTCCTCGAATATCAGGCAGAGGAGGACTAGTGGTTGTTTTTAAGAAGCAGTATAAATGTAAACCACTGCCATTATCAACCTCACCTAGTAGCTTTGAACTGAGCATGTTTGAGCTAGGTCGCTCTCACACAGTGCTCTGTGCTGTGGTTTACAGACTCCGCAAATACAATAAGGAGGTCTTAAATGACTTTTCTGATCTGTTGGCTGAAATTATGCCAAAATATGATCATGGCATATGGCAAAGGACTTTTTAAATCTTATTGACTCTTTTGATCTTGTGCAACCTGTGTCTGTGCCTACACAAAAATATGGGCACACGTTGGACCTTGTTTTAACTCACAATTTACCTGTCTCTAACTTTAGAGGTTTGTGATGTTGTAGGGTCAGACCATAGGCCTGTCTTGTTTGAGGTTTTCCTTCCTTGTACCAAAGTTAATCTTCCTCCTGTTGCTGCTAGGAGTTGTCGTATTTTTAACCCTTCCTCTGCTGGACAGTTCTCTAATGTTTTTAATCCAAACGGCGGCCTTCCTGATTTCATATGCAATGATACAGAAGAGCTGAGTACGTGGTTTTACTCTGTCTGCCAAACTGCTTTAGATTCAGTGGCCCCCTTTAAGCTTAGGCAAGTAAAAGCCAAATCTGAACCCTGGCTGAATGAAGACACCCGGGCTGCCAGACGAAAGTGCAGGAGAGCTGAACGTAAATGGAAGAAGGATCAACTTCAGGTGTCATACCAAATGTTACAAGACTACTGGAATTCTTACCAGAAAACTGTAAAAGATGCTAAGAGGAAACATTTTGCTGCTATTATTCAGGCAAATTGTCGTAAGCCTCATGTCTTATTCAAGACTATTGACATGGTCCTTCATGCTCCACAGACTGCTGGTGTCGAGTCCTCTCAGGAAATTTGTGAAAACTTCCTGCACTTTTTTATTGATAAAGTGCTATCTGTCAAAGCGCAGACTTCCCAGTCCGTTCTCGACCCTTCTACCCCTGTCCCTAGTTCTGCTGTCTTTGACAGGTTCGAGCCAGTTTCCTTGCTCTGCCTGCAGGAGTTGGTTGCTCACATGAAGCCCTCAGGCTCCCCTTATGATGCTCTCCCTCCTCGATTTTTCAAAGAGGTTTTTCTCACTATAGCATCAGCTGTACAATCCATTGTAAATAGTAGTCTGTCCTCTGGTGTTGTACCTGTCAATCTCAAACATGCGGTGATTCAGCCTCTACTCAAGAAACCTGCTCTTGATCCTGATATTATTGCGAATTACAGACCTATTTCCAAACTGCCTTTTATCTCAAAGATTCTTGAAAAGGTAGTTTACAAGCAATTAATGTCCTTCCTAGAAGAACACGGTATTTTAGAAGTTTTCCAATCTGGTTTTAAAGCTTTACATAGTACCGAATCTGCCCTTTTAAGAGTTTTTAATGATGTGTTTTTGGCAAATGACTCAGGTGACTGTGT